GAGGCAAGAGTGAAGCCCTCTTCACTCTTGTCAACTCCTTTCTTGCTTCTAGTCTAGTTTCAAGGGTCTCTAGTTTTCTTGTATTTTGGCAATAGCCATTCCAGTTTCTTTCTTAATATACATATCTCTATTTTGTCCTATTTCTTTTTGAGAAAAGTCTCACTTACTCTTTAGCTTTCATCGAGTTCTTGTCCCTGACAGTCAACTGCCTCTTTCGTTTAATAGTGTCTATGATGACTTCATAAAATTCTCTCTTTGCAATGCCTAAAATTTCTCGTAGAGTAAATTCAATTTTGGCATTCAATACTCTTTCTTTCAAGACTCCTTTCAAATCTGTGGCTGCCTCAATATCAGATTGAAGCTTATAAGTAACATGCTTACTCCTCCCTTTGTCTTTATCAACCTCTATCTTTTCTTCCCATTTATTTTTTGGCAGTGAAGCATTTCCAGGATGCAATATTGATGGCCCAGCCTTGGATGGTCTATTAGCATGTGATATAGGTATTTCTTTATTTTGTGTTATTTCTGCATGCTTTTGAGATCTCCTCTTGTTTGTTGGCTCTTCAGGATTTTCTACTATTTCATTTCTTTCCCTTTTCACCTCTATTAGGGCTTCATGTTGAGACTTTGCCAAATAAGCATGTACAGACATAGTATCTACAGGGTTATTCTATCTTGTAGCATTGTGGCTGTATTAAGTAATTCTTGCCTTGTTGTTTTTTCTTTATTCATGTTAATAATAGCATGATTCTATAGATCCCCTGTGTTTATATGCTTATCAAAAACATCCTCTTTCTCTCTTACAGCCTCAATGCCATAAATAATAGCTTCTCTTGATGCCATAGCCTGTTGAGATAAATACTCTTCTAAAACCTTTTTCATCCCTCCTTTTTCAAAATTGGTTTTGAGAAATTCACTTGTATCTCGCAACACAATTTTTCCATCTTTCCATAAAATTACTCCCTGTCGCAGAATACCAATAAAATCTCCACACTCCCTTCGAGGATGCTCCATACTATCGCACCAAATACATCATTGTATATATCCTGGCTTTGATACAGATTTGCTCTCAGGTAATCTTTCTTTCTCCTCTAGCTTTGCTAATTTGATTTGTAAGTCTTTCATTCTTTTTACCAACTCATCAATTGCATCTTTCTGTGGTGCAACTGTAGACATAGGAATTGGAATAGTACTTATTGGTATAGCACGTTCTAGCTGTTGCCTACAAGATGTTGTAGTTGGTGGAGGTCTAGTCTCTTGCCTTACTACCACCTTCCTCCTCCGATATTCTCTTTTAGCAAGTATGCCCACGGCTTCAGAGACTTTCTTCTAATCAGTAGTAAATCCATTGTCTTCTATATTATCCTCCAATAATAATTCCAACTCTCTTTGTAAATCATTGCTAGCTGATTGAAGAAATAACTCTACCTTATGATTTTCAAGTGTAAGCTTTTCCACTCAAGACAATTGAAGAAACTGTCTTTCAAATTCTCGAAATAACTTTGTTGCAACAAACTCCTTGTTGGATTTATTGACCCATTCCATAAACTATTTTCTTGTCACCCTTTTTGTATCTTCCAAAGAATACTCTTCTTTTAACTGAAGGATAAAATCCTCCCATTTCTCTCCATGAGTTTTAATAATCCCTTTTATATGCTCACGAAGCTCTGGTACAATTGTAAGCTCAAATGTTAGGATCATTTCTTTCTCCGACACTTTATTGAGCTCCATCTCCTGAGAATAATACTTAAGATACTTAGAAATATTTCTTCCATCAAATTGATCCAATAAACTAACAACAGATTGTAAGGCTTTAGTAGCCATTGCCTCCTTGCGTTCCACAGCTTGCTGTTGTTGCATAAAAAGTGCAAATGCTTGAAATATTTGAGTTGTAGCAGGATCAAGTTGCAATGGAGATTCCCCAATGCAATTCCTACTACCACTTCCTTGCCCCCCTTCTATAACAAAATCCAAAATATTTCTTCAAAACTCTCTACCCTAGAAATTTTCACGTCGGGTTCACGAGGTCTGTCGTATGGCGTGATTTGCTATCTGGGAATACACTGGGTATCTAGCTATAGAGAGTGTATCTTAAAACTTTATATGATTATTTTCTTAGCTTCCAAAACTCCTTTATTTTTGTATAAAACCCAAAATATAACAAAATCCCTTCAAAACATATTTTTTCTTGCGAATGATTTTCTCACCCTCCGAACTTTAGAAAATCATAACTATTGATCTATCCGTTCAGTTTGTTTCAAATTTACAATATAGCTAGAATTTACCCTTAACTTTTACCACATAAAAAACCAACCGCAAATTCACTTCCGATCTTCTGGCATCTAGGAAACCCTAGTAGACACTCCAAACCCTAATTTATAAGCATCCGAAAAACTATTTTCCTTATATCTCAAAAATCCAAACTTCAAATGTCATAAATCTTATTCACAAAGTTTACTAACATGAAATTACACATTCCTTGAAATTTTGAGCCAAAATCTTGTCAAATTGCTCAAGATATAGCTCAAGAGACAAACACTAGTAAATCGGTTTACTTACTACCCTTTAGATTGCATGTGCTGACTTCAAAATCCAATAACTCCTTCAACCCAACTTAGAATCCAATAAGCAGTATGTGAAAAGTATAGCCGCAAAAGTTTTCTCTCCAGTCGCAGTCGCCGATCCTCAATCGCCATCCGTACGCGTGCGTTATGCCCAAAAGAGTGACAGTAGGTCCAAAACTAACACCTTAACTTTGAGCGCCTATAACTTCTTCATAAAAACCCCAAATGACACAAAACTTGCACCAAAACCTTAACCAAAAACCTAAACCTTCTGATCCTAGCCTTCAAAGTTCGAATGGGCTCGAGGAACTCATCCTAATCCCTAATATGGCTTCGGGCAGCCTCCTCAAAGCCCATTGGTCATGATTTTTGACCAATAGGAATGGAGATTTTTATTTTTCATCTCCATCCATCTATATTGGTGCCCTAATTCCTCCCTTTGCTACCAAAATCCTTCTTCAATTCTTTTTCTTATAAGATTTACATAATGTATGCTCTAAATACCAAATAAAAGAACTAAAATAAGTTTTCAAATGTCACCAATGTCTAACAAAGGTGACTCTAAATATTTAGAAGTTACTATCAACCAAAACCAATCTTAAAAGCCACTATCAAAAAGAAATTAAAGTTATACAAATTCTATAGTAATCTTTCTAAACAACCTCTTTTCAAAGTAATAATCAAATTATATCCTACAACCAACTAAAATCTAATAACATGGCTCTCACCATGTTACTTAATAAATTATATATTAAGTACATAATTACATTATTTTCATATAGTAGCCGAACCATAACACGACATCGTCCATGTGAGGAGGAGGAGGAAATATTGAGAGACCAATATCCATACCTCACAGCGATTGGAACACTTTTGTATTTAGCTACATCTACTAGACTAGATATTATATTTGCAGTTAGTGTTCTTACAAGACATAGTGCACGTCCAACACTATGATATTGGAATGCCATCAAACATTTATTACGTTATTTAAAAGGTACTGAAGACCTGGGATTATACTACACACAATCCGCAGATCCAAAATTCGTTGAATATTATGATGCAGGATATAAATCTCATATTGCAACAACTAAATCTCAAACAAGATATGTATTCTTAAGACATGGCGCTGCAATATCATGGAAATTAGTGAAACAAATAATAACTGCAACTTCATCCAACCATGCAAAAATTATTGCCTTACATGAAGCATCTTGAGAATGTATTTGGTTGCAATCAATTGATAAATTCATTCAAACAACCGGTGGATTTTCATATGATGATTCTCCAACTATCTTGCATGAAGATAATAGTGCTTGTATTGCATAGATGCAAGTTGGTTTCATTAAAGGTGACAGGACAAAGCATATTGATCCAAAGTATTTTAGCTATACTTATGACTTGATTACTGATCAAGCACTTGTAATTAAGAAAATTGAATCTACAAATAACCTTGCTGATCTCTTTACCAAAGTTCTCCCATTAAGCAACCATCCTCGACTTACTTATGGCATTGGTATGCGGCAACTTGCTCTTCTTCAATAAGAAAGTTAATGAGCTCTTTAAATAATTAAAGAAAATGATGTTATATTCTTTTTCTTTCATCTATGGTTTTGTCCTTAAATAAAATAAGATTTTCGTAGATAAGGTTTTAATGAAGCAACAATTGTTGATCTTGCAAGATCACAGAAAAGTATAGATCATAATTCTACACAAATTTTATATGATGTAAATATTATGATGAGCGAGGAGGAGTGTTGAGATCATTAAATGTAGCCGACGCTCTCCATAATATTTATTGTAGACTAAAGTAAATACTGTAGCTACAATATTTGGAATCTAGTGGAAAAGTACTGTTTATCCTCTTCTCTTTTCTCTTCTTGTATACAAGACACAACCAAATCAATAGATTTTTGGGTGTGAAGCTCTCTCTCTTTAAAAACCCTCATGTGTGTAAGACTTACTACTACTCTTATGTGTGTGTATGACTTACTATTACTCTTGTCTTTCTAAACATTCTCAACATGATGAACACACCATTGTTTCACAATTCAATCTTTTTCCTATCCATTGATTGTTTTAGAATGAGAATTGATTGTTGTAGCAGTTTTTTTTCACTTCCAATTAATATCCAATTAGTTACATTTATTTTTTCCTTTCATATACAAAGTCTACTTTTGAAATGGAAAGCTTGATAATCATTCATCTCAATACCATCCCGAGATGGATGAAAGCGATCTGTACGTCAAACAAGCTGGACAAGAACGGAGACCACGGATGAAAAGAATGAGGATGACGGACAGAAGCCACGAAGGACGAACGAAGGTGTGGTGGACGTTTTACGTCGACGAAAACCGAACGAAGACGAGACGGACGAACAGAATGGAAGGGATCTTTGTTAGGGGGTGTTGCGTGCATTGGTTGGGGTTCATGGAAGCCCTAATTTTATCGAGAGAGGGAATTCACGGGCACAATCCCTTTGCAGAGGGCACCATCGCCATAGCCACACCCATGTCCTCCATCTCGTATTCGTGTCCGCTACCCGCGTTTCTTGCACCCCCTGCATGTGCTGCTCTCAGTCCTCCGGATTGCGTCTTGTTCTGCGTTGTTTGCTTGCTGGAGAAGTGTGCAAGGCTTGTTCTAGTGGGATTCGGGCTGGGCCTTGGGCGTGATTGAGAGTACCGACATTGGGTTGAAGGTAAACCGTCTTTGAATGGATTGGATTAGAGGCCAAAGGGAAGTGGAATCTTTGTGATATCAAGGAAAATTTTCGGATTCTCCGAGGACTTCAGGTACTTGTACTTCCATTCTTGACTCGGATTTACCTGTTGTTGAATTTTACGGGAGAGTGAGTGAGAAAGAGGGAGATTTGTAATGGTTTCTTCATGCCAGATGAGATGCTGGAAGTGGGGTTGCTTATGTACTCATAGGTTTGTGATGTAAGCAGCGGAATTAAGCTTATAGAGTAACAGTTCTTTTGCAACATAATTTTCAATTCTTTTATCAATAGTTGTGTATGAGTGGAAAATGTGTTTGTGATATTGGATGAATTTTGTAAGTGCCTGGAAAGTCTCTGTTGTAGATTATTGTGTACTAAAGGAATTGCGTCGTACTCTTGGCTGTTTAATTGCATGTGACCATGTTGTTTTCATTAAAAAACAATGTAAGCACAAGTGTAATAAATCGATTATCAAAGCTTAATCGATGTACTGTCTTGCGTGTGCTCGCGATTGATTATTAAATTGGAGTGTAAACCCCCTCCTGTGAAGTTAAGGTGGTACCTCTGTTTGTTTGTTTGCTTTTTTTAAAATTATTTTATATTGCAACCCTAAATGCGTTGTGGTTTTAGGTTTTCAGTCAATGATGAGAAAGATGCAGTTATGAACTTATGTGAGGCTCGTTAACGGTGTGCTGATTCGAGTGGTGTATACATGTTAGTCTGCATCGTACAAGACCCTGTCTTTCGATGGCGAGCATGATGGAAACAGACAATGTAGCGACAACAAATGGAGCAGCAGCACCAGCTATAGCAGCCGCTCCCCCTTCACAGACTTCACGTACTAATGACCGACTTGCTGAGTCCCTCAAGCTGGAGCACCAGCTCGTCAAGGTATGTGGGGCTTTGGTAATTTTATTTTCTGTATGAAATTTGCTATGCTTTCTGCAATCCAGTCGTATACGCAATGTGCATGCTTCTCGTTTATTGGACTCAATTTCAGTGTCTGCAAGGAGATGTTTTTCAATTGCCACTCGGTGGATCTCGTGTGATAATAGTGTCCTGGAATGAAGTTGCAATGTATGGGTGTAGTTGCATCATTTCCAGAGTGTTACGTATTCGTACTGTGGAAAATTTCGTGTTATCTGTAGTTCTGTTTTGGGCTCTCGTCTATGCTTGAATTTCTAGAGAATGTGATGTTTAGGTTTCTTATATGTTAAGGAGTCTTTTCTGTATATTCTGCAGGTCCCATTTGAGCATTTGAAGAAAGCCATGCGGTTGAGCACACGTTTTGTGGAAAAGGAGGTGAATGCTGTGTATGCTGGTGTGGCTGACGCCATTGACAAAGATATGTCTAAAGAGGAAGCCGTACAGCGTCTCACAACTTTAGTTTCTCGCTTGCAAGGCCTTAAACGCAAGGTATAGTTGTCGACATTTATGTGAGATATGTGTGCATAGGTCAGTGCTTTCTCTTATTGCTTGAGTTTCACTTTTTTCCTGGATTTGAAGATCCTGATGGCTGTGTTGATGGCTACGGGTTCTCATTTTTGAATTACACCTGCAAATTCATGTTGATATCAGGTGTATTGTTTACATGACTCTGAAGGTTGTACCATGGATATTGAGTCGTGAGTTTATCAAGTTTATTGGCGTATGTATGCTTGCACAAGGAAGTTTGTTCTATCGGAAATAAAACATTCTAATATGTTTCTGCATAGGTCATGCATTGGCCGACGTTTACTTGAAGCGGAATGACAGTTTTTGGTTATCTGCGTCATTGTGTAGTCATACTTGTCGATTAATTCTGCAGTAGGATGATTCTACCCTTGCCTTGTTTGGCCAGACGTTCACACCACTTCTTTGAAGTTGTTGTGAAATGGTACACCTGTGAATGTGCTGTTCGGAGATGTATTTATGTGTTTTATTGCGGAGGTTTGAATCGGGTTGCAGTTGGACGAGAGCAACAAAGGTGAGCAAGTGCAAGTGCAAAGGTGTCGTGCTAGGATAGACCATTTAAGCATGCTTCAGGGTGAAAATGGGAAAGAGAATGAGCTCCAGTGGAATAACACTCGCGTGCAGCGTATCCTGGTTGACTACATGTTACGTAACTCTTACTATGACACAGCCTTTCGGTTGGCAGAGATGAAAAATATTCAGGTTTGTCGTAATTATTGGGCTTCGTTCTCTTAAAATTCACTCTCGAAGTAATGATTTTTCAATAGTCTTTTATGTAATGTTTATTATGTATTGCCTCTTTTCTTTTCTTTTATTATCTTTGCGAGATGACTAAAATCTGCTTAGAGTCTCTTCAAATTGCGCTCGAGTTGTTTGAATTGACTTGATGTATCTAGGTCCGGTAAAATAGTTGGTTGTGGATATTGTGGACGATTGCAGGAACTTGTGGATATTGACATCTTTTTGGAGGCCCGAAAGGTTATTGAGGCTTTGCGGAATCGAGACTGTACTGAGGCACTTACTTGGTGCTCTGAAAACAAGTCCAAGCTCAAGAAATCCAAGGTCGTCCAATTTACTGCCATCGTTTCTTGCGGATTTGTCAAGCCTATCATTTCTTGAGTGTCAAGATTTTATAATCCGCTATTTTTCCATGGAATTATCAATTGCTCGAGGAGGTCGTTCAGCAAACCCTGTTTCACTGGTAATTATTTACGAATATGGTATGTGCAGAGTAAGTTTGAGTTCAAGCTTAGGTTGCAAGAGTTTATTGAATTGGTGCGGGCTGAGAGGATGATGGATGCTATCATGTATTCTCGCAAGCACCTTGCTGTATGGGGTTCCACCAACATGAAGGAACTACAACAGGCCATGGCCACATTAGCCTTCAAGAGCAACACCGATTGTGCTGCCTATAAGGTGCTCTTTTTCCAGCGTCGTAAAGATTTAGCTAATTTCGACTTCCTACATATATTTTTTTTTACGTATTTTAGAATTTGATTTGTTGGTGTACATTTTCAACTTAACGACCTTGGAGCAGGTTTTAGTTTTGGTTAAGAAAGCTGAATGTGTTCTGCTTCATGTCAGTCTCAATCAAGTGCCTAAAACCAAGCAGCATAGTGTTGTAGATGCTAAATCTATTTTGTCTTATTATGCATTTTCTGCCACTTGCATAGGTAGATTAAATTCCCTGAAATTCCTGGTTTTTGATAAGTTTTAGATGTTTGCTTCCTGGTATTCACATTATAGTTTTGTGTCTTTGCAGATATTATTTGATACACAGCAATGGGATAACTTGACTCAAGAGTTTAAGCAGGAGTTTTACAAGTTGTATGGCATGACTCATGAACCTCTGCTCAATATTCATCTCCAGGCTGGGCTTTCTGCTCTCAAGACTCCGTATTTTACCTCAACCATATCTCAATTGGTTCTTTTCATGGTTTTTTTAAAAGAGTTGCTCAGACTTCTGGGTGGAATTCAGGAGTTTGTGAGTTGTCTAGCTATATGTTAAGTTCCTCAATATCAAGATTTTCTCCATTTGCTGTTCACTGGATGCTTTTCTTATGTCCTCCGAGGTGCACACTTTGCAGCTTAATATCGAAAGTAAAATGCCCACATCTTAAATGTGTATGTGGTTTCAGATTTTGTTACGAGGAAGGATGCACCAAGGAGGATCCTTTGTCTCAAGAAATTATTCGTAAACTTGCGGATCCATTGCCGTTTGCTAAGCACATTCATAGCAAGCTAGTGTGCTACATTACCAAGGAGCCCATGAACGACAATAACCCACCTTTAGTACTGCCTAATGGCTACGTGTACAGCACAAAGGTTTGTTTGGGAGTATTTTGTTTCTTCATCAAGTTGATCCGTCGAATCATTTTGATTATTCCACACCTAGTGTTACTCATGTGACACCAGTTATTATCTACGTTCCTCAAACTACCTGTCGACCTTTCTCTTCCAGAAGACATTAGCCGCTCGGTCTCTAGCTAAGTGGATCGGATTTTGTTTGCAGGCAATGGAACAAATGGCAATGAGGAACCAAGGCAAGATCGTGTGCCCAAGAACTGGAGCTGTTTATAATTTTTCAGAACTTGCTAAAGCTTACATTTCATGATGCTTCAAATATCAAGCGACTGCTTGCACACTTATCCTCCAATCCTCGATCATTTGATTCAGAATGTGATGTATGGTATTGTATATTACCTTGAAGAGGTACACTGCAAGCTTTTTGGTATCTGATCTGGGTATCGAATTGGTTGTGTTAATTGGCTAGCTATCATCATCCACAAATTGTTAGCCCATTATTATCATTCAAGTCATGTAGCATAATATTGTCCAAGTGATTCTTGAAGTTCTGCATAGTTCATGATTACTTTTCAGCAGGGCAGAAATTAAATGCGAATCAAAGTGACTAAAGTCTGAAGACTGTCAGCATCAAGATTTGCCTGGTACAATTCAATGCTACTGTTTCAGTTTTTGTAAATATCCAGCTTAAGCAGATGTCATCACCTTGATGGGACATTTGTTTTTTTCTTCAAATCATGGTTTGCAATGAAATAAACTTTCATTGTACCAACAAGGTTAATGTGAAGCAGATCAAATTTTCTATTTATTGTTCTGAAGTTGATCATTTGCTTTCTGCAATAATTGCTCTTGATGTATCATTCTTATCAATGGATCAAACGTTTTGGATATGTGCCAGTTGTGCTTGGTTTGGCTCCATGTCAATAATCAAAGTAGAGATAATCTCAGCAAGGTGTTTTTTTATGCTTTTGGTTATTTTCGAATGGACGCAAATGCCATTGGTCAAGGTGTAGGTATGACCCATGTTGGAATATTTGGGTGCTTTTTTGGAATGACATGGACTGCATGTGCAGAGTTGGGTGGACCTTGCCCAGTGACGAAGTCAACAGATATATGCCTAGTATTCTCGATGTAGACAATCATTCTCTCACATTGGTAGTGGATAAGGCTACAAATGTACCTGGTGAAGATCTCTATTCTCTACTTAACCCACCACCACAATTAGAGGGATCCCTGTCGTTGCTATTTCTTATTTCAAAATAAAATTGGGATGATTGGCTTTATTCCATTGATTTCTGGAAGAATCTTATTTGTCATTCACCATGATTTCATGGGTCACAAACTGCCTACGGGTTTCTCATTCAGATGATTACAACTGCAGATTCTGAGAGGATGTCATTTGTCAGTCTGTTCATCCTTGAAACCATGTAAACAAATTAATCTGGAAACTTGACATTCTTTAGTGGTTGGAAGACTTATCACTCAACATCACAGCAATCAGTTATCCTCTGTTGATTTAATTGTACAGAATTCAATGTTCCTTGATTTTGCATGTGCCAAGTCACTTGTTCACACACATGATTTGATAATGTAAAGTGTCTTACCTGCTCAGTCTATTCATTAAAACTCAAAGATTTGATAAAGATGAATGAATAGCAGGTCTGTTCAAATGTGCATAATGGAAATTGTTTTTTTAGCAAAGTATATGTATGTGTGTGTGTAAATAAATAAATAAATACCTATATACATATATATATATATATATATATATATAGTTTTTTTGTTGCTAGTACAAATTTAACAAACTACTTTTAATATGTCAACTCTCTAAGATAAGAAATAGGGGAAAAGTTAGTGATTACACATACTTGATGTACACTTCTAGTTTTCCTGTTGTGGATTGACATACATAGCAATGAATTGATGTCAGATATAGGAAGGTAAAAGTATGGATGTTTATTTACTAAGTTCAGTTAATTTTTATAGTTTTAAAAAATAAGTATATAAAATATGCTAATTAGTTACCTGATCATTTTAAAAAAAACAGAAACTTATTTTTAATTTTTAATTTTTTACAATCAATGTACTTTTAGTAAAAAGACTTCCATAAAACCTCTAAAGAATTAATTATTTTGTTTCATGTTAAATCTCTTTATATATATAAGTTGTCTCTCTTTTAAATAGCTTAGACTAATTTCTTGAGCGTTGTTGTTGGAATTGTATTCTACATGAGGGTTGTTTTGGACTATCCTTAGTGGGCTTTTCCAGCTTTGGAATCTTCAGATGTAAAGAGGCTTTTTCTGTGCTTTGGAGATCTCGTGTTCTCTGAATTTCGTTTATTGTGGCTATGGAGATAAATTATGTGGTGCACTAAAATTTAATGAAAATGGAAGGACTACTCTACAGCACTTTCTTGATGCAACTTTGTTTATTTTTTAATATTGGTATTCTATCAGTTGGTTTTTAAATTTCTACTTATTTATACGTTTAGTCACAATCTCTTTTTTCATCAAGATTTCTGTGAGACGGTTAAGCAACAATTGCCAATTTGAAGTTTTATTTTACTTTCTGAAATGGTATATGTGGATATCATTTAAAGTTCAGTTTGATAGCCAAAAAAACTAAAAGATTCCCGAAATTAGTCAAGTAGCAATAAATTTGGCTTTCAAAGCTTGAGTTAGAACCTTATTTGACGAAGAATGGGAATACAAAAATTTACTGTTAAAATTGAGTGATATAAACCTGTGCAAAGGTTTGATTATTTCATATGATTTATTATTTATTATTTATTACATGTATGCAGCTTCTTTATTCTCCCTGATTATTTTAAAGTTTCAAATAATTATTTGTGAGATCTGACGAATTCAAATACCTGCTTACTGCGAAGTTTTGCAGAGGCGAGCTTTCTGATATTATAAAACACTGTTGTTGAGGGTAATTGTTGTGAGGACGACGTGGCCGTGGGCCTGGTCTGGTCGATGAAAAGTCAAAATGTTCTAGTAGAGGTACAAACACAGCGCCCATTTGAAAAACCATCTTGCGATGTCTTCGATGCTAGACTCCGCGAGTCCACAGTGTGCAAACCACGGCAAAAGTTAGCCCAGACACGTGGGTGACAGACCAAACAGTGGATGACTGCCGATAAGTCTGATTTCATTGTGTCTATTCGGAGCACTAGGTGTAACGAACGCAAGCTTCAACGTTGCCACATCGCGTTGCTTTATCTCAATTCACTTCCCCGCTGGATGTGGACCAGACATGGTAGTTTCTCATAGAGGTAGCGCAAACTACAATCAATCCAACATCAACACTTCTCGACGACAACCTTCTCCTCGCTGCTTCTAATCCTGTCACTAGCAGTGAAGAAACTAATCCAAAGCCTTTGCTCGACATCCATTTCTCCCACCCCACTCTTCGTTTTTCAACAACGAAAGTGCACAGGCCTTCAAAGGTCTGGAAGTCGATCGAACCAGGGTTTGATCTCCCAGCGGTAACTAAACAAAGCCTTGCGAAGAAACTCAGTGCAGGTCATGTGGGAATCAGACTAGTCTATCAGCCATAAATGTTGTGGTGGAGTTGGAGCACAGCTGCAGGACAACGTTGGACGCGGCGACTGTGCAAGCTCAAGTGACCTATGTCGGCAAAGTTCACGTTCTCGGCTTGACCAACATCGTAATCCACGCAGCTTAGATCCCTCGACACCTTCGACTAAGCACACGAGTAAAGCTGTTCAGATCAGTGTTGGTTGATTCACCTCTCGCTGGTGTTGCAAATGGTTTCTCCGACGGTGCAGACACAAAGAGAACTAGAGTTTGTATTGCAATTGTCTCACCCTTCATGTTGGCTTCAGAAACCTCTAGAATGTGGACTTATACTGTTGAGAGCCGAAGTGTGTTGAGAATGTTGCTGATAATGTTGGTTTTCATTCTTTCATGCGAAATGTTTCAGTTTAAGTGAAGGTTTGGAATGGATATGTGAAACTAAAGAGCTCGATAAAACAGATAAATGAAAACATCTATTTCTAGATTAAAGCCAGTTTATGCTAATTCTTGAACCTAGAAGCATTTCTCAGGTTGTGTTATTGTGATATTCAACCGTGACCGACTCATTTGTGAATCTGGGACGGTCATGCTCTTGGTTGATAAAATTGTGAGAAAGAGAGCGAGAGAGAGAGAGAGAGAGAGTTCTGAATCGATTGAGAAGCTATTCAATAATCGTTATTCTGTAGCATCTTTGATAAGAAACTATAATTGAGATTACGTGAATTCAAAAGCAATGTTTTGCATAAAAATATTTTCTTGTTTAAATCTGTAATAGTTTTTGATTGTTAAAAACTAGAATAAATAGAATTCAATAGAATAAATAAAATTAAATATTTTCAAACACCTTGTAGTTTTGAAAGTAATTTTGATTATCAATGTAATAATCATAATAAAATTTTAAATTTTAAAGTAGTTTTATCACTTCAAGGTTGTAACTGTATGTGGGAATATATATATATATATATATATACAAATACATACATACATAAAAACTAAAATAATTGTACTAATGATGTAGTAAAAAAATCATGAAATATATATATATATATATATATATATATATATATAATAAAAATAATCACCTTTCTATTTGGCTGATATTATATTACCTTTATTGCTAAATATAATATAATTGTGGAAGATATCATATATAACAAACTAAAATATGCTCTCATATCTTATATAATTAAAAGATTACATGTTAAATTAAAATTTTAAATTATGATTTAAAATAATAATATAGATAAAAAAATATGTATATTCAGTTTTATTATCAACTAAATAAATTTAAAATTATATTTGAATTATTTAATTTTATGATAATTTTAGTAATATTAATTAATTTATATTATCAATTAAATGAAGCATATCAATTAAATTTATTTTTTTCACTTAATATGTTTTTTTTATATATGATATAATCCTTGAAAATTTGGTCAACATGCTATAAGATTCAAAACAATTAAGTGATTTTTTTATAACAATAATTAATGTTTTGATTGCTATGGATATATTACTTGAGTAAGACAACATTCTAAAAATTCAAAGAAATGAAACAAAAGAGATTTATTTTTTATTACAAACAATGAGCTATGACAAGGCATAAGAACAAGAGTAGAAGGCTCTAAATAATCTATTTAAATTGCATTGTTGAAACTGAGGATCCTCTCAGCCTCAATTTTTATATATTAAGTGCAAGAAGTTCATTGAGAAGTTTTTTTAATGCATGGAGCTAAAAAAGCCTCTAAAAATATTCTATGATCATCTAAGATTTTTTAGAATCTTCTAGGATCTTTTAGAATCTTTGTTAAAATCTACTAGAACCTATTAAGGACTTTTCAAAATCATTGAGAATCTTCTAGAACCTTCTAAAATCTTCTTCTATTATATGTCATTTACATCACCTCTTTTTTTTGCTCCAAATTTCATAAGAAGGCATAGAGTTAAAGTTGATTAAAGGTAAAGAATGTCAAAGATGTGTTGGATGGTTTTGGCTATAAATCCAAGTTGTCTTTTGCAAGTCAAAAGATTTATTAATCCTTGCAATCAAGAATAGTGACAAATATCTTCTATCATATACTAAGCTTAAATTTTTGTGTCTTCATTGCAAAACTAATGAAATTGCTTCACAACGTCTTTTATAGGCAAATTCTATTTTAATAACAAATGCCAAAGAACAACTATTAAGTATTTTTAATGTCATCTTGATTTAGATAATTTTTCTTTTTGAAGTTGATAACATAAAATATTTAGTTGAAATGACATA